TCCCCCAATTTATTCCTCTCAGAAGATTTGGTTAAGTGACATTGAGGTCTGACACATCATCATCAAGTCTTCTCTTCCAGCACTGAAAAGTCTCTTTGTTTTTTTTTTAAATTATTATTATTAATTTTTAAGGAAAGAAAAGAAATATAACCACTATGAAAGGAAGCAGAGCTGCCAGGACTGGTGCTAAGGAGAGGCACTGGCCTATGGACAGGGCATTCAGGGCTCAGAGTAAGAAAGTGGGTATCCCCAAGGAGAGGGATAGGACTCTCAGAAATTAATTTAATTCTAAGTAGTTGTCTTCCTGCTCCTCATTTGAAGAAGAAATAAGGTTAAAATAGGGAAAATTATTCCAAGGTAGCACTCGCAGAAGCTAGCAGAAGGTCAGACCTCAATGCCAACAGTCAGGTGTGGTTTACACTCCTCCAAGGGCCATAGAGGTGGCTCTGCAACCTTATGACAACAGGCCTCTCATGCACACACCAATAGTCTCTCCTCAGCACCAAAGGAGTGAACTAAGGAACTTAAATGCCAAAAGGCAGGTTGAGTCCTTTGTGTTTCCTGCCATTGAAAAGGAAGAATTAAAAACTGGTTCAGTCACCCATCCTCTGTGTGCCAAGCAGTGATTTGGCAGGTTAGTCTGCAGAACCTGCAAACGCAAGAAAGCTGTCTGCACAGAGGCAGTTACTGGGACAAAGCTTTTGCTGCATGGCCAAGACCCCTGAAGTAGGATCATCAAGGCAAAAGTACAGCTTCCAAGAGATTTTTCAGAAGGACCTTCTCAGACCTTACAAAGTTCACCTGGCACCTTTTCTTGGGCTTCACCAAGGTTGACAAATCAAAGCTTGATTTTAAATGTTCAGTGCACAAGAAATGTTGTGCACTCTAGGATCTGTGAGGTGTAGACAGTCTCATTAAAAGGTATTTACAAGTCTCAAAACTGAAGATGTCTACACATACATCTGTGCATGTAGCTGTATTAGAGGGGCATGGTAGGCATGTCTACAACTACATGACTCAGCGAAAGATGAAGAACAAACATGCCAGGCAACACACACTTTCTAGTGAGGTATTTCTAAACTTGACCTCTTAATGTCACGCTAATGTAAACATATTCAATTAAAATTTTAGGAAAAAAACCCCCACTAAACAATAAGAATGACAAAAAGAAATATATAAAGTTATATTGACTCAATGCCTTTTATCTGAAAATATCTCAACAGGTTACAACTTACAAAATAGTGCAAGAGTGAGGAATAGCTGTGGAAGATAAAGATGAAAAGATACCTGTTTATATTCTTGAGGATCAGGCTCCCCTTTGCTGGAATCAGAATTTGTGTCATCATCTTCATCAGAACTGTTCATGATATCTTCTTCATCTGACTGAAGATCTCCCATTACCACATGATCATGGTGTTCTTCTAAGGACCTAAAATTGAAATATGTATAGTTGATAAACATACCATGTTTTATTCATGTAGAGAGCTTTCTGGTTTACGCCACAATAAACGGTCTCTTTGGTATCAGAAACACTGAAAACAGTAGTGGGTAACCTGAAGATGATGATAGTGGTAGGCTCTTCCACAGTGGAGTCGTAACTCTGCAATGTTTTATCTATCCTAGTATTGGTAAATGCTCACTGACAGCATGCAAAAGCCACAGTACCTTTGGAGCATTTATGTTATTCTTGTTCATCAGAGTTTGCCTGACAGCAGAGATTGATAAATCCACTCCTTTATTGCTCTGTGCATGTTTAAGGCAACATTTGTTCTGTGTGTCAGAAGGATAAAGAAAGATAATAACTGTTTTGCTCTCTGTCTTGTAGCATCAGGACTTGTTCCAAATATGGTACTCAGACTGGAGCTTTCTGTCTGACATTTTAGATACATGCATATATACAGGGTTGTTTCTCAATCGGTATGCTCAACAAATGCATGAGGGATGGCAATATTATAACGGCTCTGTCCAATAATTCTTCTTAAAAACAAGAAAGCAGAACTTCTTGTGATTAAAAACTCCCATCCCCCCAAGATACACACCTCCCAGACAGCTGTCAAGCCTATAAAATATAAGCTTGTTCTGCTGCTGTACAATGATTACACAGGTCTCTTTTCATTAGCGTTAGTTGTATTTGCAACACAAAAATTGCATGAGACTGGCACACAACCTCCTTCCTCTAACTAGCCTTGACAATTTCAGTAGAGATTTAAGAAATGCAATTCTAGAAGAAAACAAAAAAGGGGATAAAGAAAGATAAAGAAGAAAACAGAGCCTGAAGTTTCGGTAAATTTACATAGAAACACAGCAAATCCCTGGGCTCCTACTTTTAAATATCTTTTAAAAATATCTGATAATTGCCAGTTAGACTAAAGCTGTGTCTAAATACACATAATCTGTGTTCAAGGCCTGCAAAAAGATGCTGGGATGCCACAGGCTTACTGTGGTATAAGCCAAAAGTTATTAGCTACCCTACAAAACAAAGATCAAATCCAGAAACTCTCACCCCCAACCTGCTGCAGCCAGCAGAGATCTCATTGTGCTGATCAACACACCTGATGTGCAGCCAACACATCTCCATACAGCTGCCCTCTGCCTCCCTACACAAGGAATGGTTACCACTCATCTTTCCTTTTCCTAACTTTGAATCACAAAAACACAGGGATGGAGGGCAACTCTTCAGACTCATCACCTCCAAACGTGGTAGTTACCAGAAAAAAAACCTGTCAGCAAGGATTCCATAGGAGGTGGCTGCCGGTAACATGAATAGCAGAAGTAAGGAATACTGGCTGTGTGAGGATGCTCCAGAAGCCACAGCAAGGTTTTGATTATTCAGTGCTCAAGGCAGAGTTAAAAAAAACAACACACAAATGCTGATCACAAATAGAAATATATTTAGAGAGGAAGACAAGATTAGTTGGCTTGAGGACAGACTTTGGTCAGCCATGAAGACATAGAAAAGACTAAAATAGCTTGGTTCCATTAAGACAACACAGGAAGGACTCAGGGAAACACCCAAGCAGTTACTGTCTCCCAGAACTGAATGGCATGGGGGAAGAAAGGCAATTGCAAGCTCATCACCATGTTCAAACGAGACCCTGAACCAAGAATTCAGCACCCAGGGTGCAGAGAGACACCCAATTATTTCAGTTTGTAAATTATCTACTTCACGTGGGAAGAGAGCGGTCACCAGAGAAACAAGTGCTGATGACAACAGCGCAGAGAGCACGCCAGGGACACTTCCCATCGAGCCTCCATGAGCTTCAGGAAAGCAAAAAAGCAGCTCTTCAATGGAGCACCCCCTGGAACCACACTAGCAGGATGCCAAGACTTCTGCAGTTACTTGTTGACTTCAGTAAATCAGAAAACTCTTTATCTAGTCTATCTAATTCACAAATGACCTGTTGGCTTCAGAATATTTATTTTAGCAGATGCCATCTCATATCCTTTTATTTTATAGATGACAAATATCTTTATTTCATCTGTAGCATTACAGGAGGTACACATAATCCCCCTGCTCCTTCCCTTACTGTATTATTTACAGTTTTACCATACACCTCTGTCACTGAATCTATAGCTGATCTAGGATTTTATTTTTTTTCATTGCAAAATGTATTGAGCACTTTATCTCTAACCCCACTGGAATTCCCTTTTTGTCGCTTATTTATCAACATTTACTTTTGTTAATGGACATTTTATCACCCTTTTTCCTATCTTTAATATTTTTTTAATTGCTGCTTTAATTCCCTTAAACTAGGATTTCTTCCCACCAAGGAAACATTATTTCCACACTTGTGAAATCACAATTCTTTTGCCTAAGCATGTTTTACAGAATGCCTGTTCCCAGACTATGCTATCATTTTTCATTTAAACATTTCAGGTTAACTGTGCCAGCACAAAATTTTATAAAACCTGCCCTTTTTGAAGTCAGAAACAAGCATTTTTCGAGGTGAGGCTGTCTTCTACTTGCACAAACATAACCCTATCACCACTGAAGGATGAAGATCAAACTAGCTGGCCTGCGTTTGGGTAAAGAATTTTCTAAATGAAAGATTAATCACCTTATCTAATACGAAGTTTCAGTAAAAAACTACAAAAAGTTTTTTATAATTAACTACTGATGATTTAGGATGTTTAGTAAGTGTCCATAGATGAGAGCCACTCACTGAATACATTTCTTCCTGGGAATCACAGCAATGTTTACACAGTATGCCCCTTTTCTTGCCTTTGGGGTGTGTATGCACCTACTATTCCTGTAAAGGAAACTACGAAAGCTGAGAGAACCATCTACTAAATCTTGCCTATAATATCTGCCCCACCAGTCAAAGGACCTCAGAGTAATCTCTATACATTTTTATCCTGTATTTGCTCAGCTCACAGCCTAACACAGCCCTCAGGTTTTTCCACCTGATACATTTTGTTGAGGGGTTTTTTTGGTAGTTTTAAATTTTTTTTCTTCTTTCTTTTTTTTTTTTTTTTTTTTTTTTGTTTTTTTTTGTTTTTAAAGAAAAACCACAGAGGATGATTTGACAATTAATGATCAAAAAACCAGTTCACACCAACCCATTTTCCAGAATCAAACAAGCCACCAGGTCGGGGATCAGATGCGATACTGTAGCCATGCACAGATGCACTCTTGGTGGTATCTGCGGTTGTGTCCCCTTCTTCAGTCACTGTGCTGATCTGCCTTTATGTGCTGGAACACATGTGACTCTCCTTGCACCTTACACCTTAACCTTTCATTATAAATACTATGGTTTTTCTGTTGAAACAGAAAATAGTTTTGTATTTACTGATTACTCCTTCTATACTTTTATCTCTAAAGTAATCTAAACTGTAAGTGTGTACACAGCTCTCAAAATCATCTCTGCACAAAGTGAAATCCCTTGTAGCCTCCAAATGAGTTTGGAAATAATGGCAAATCTTTAAAGAAATATAATCTTTTCTACCACATACCAATTCCCCTTTTCCAAAATACCACAGGCATGCAGCAGTGGTTATTTTTAAGCAGCTCTTCTGATAGGTATTTTGGGGATACTGTGAACTATCTCTATCTTGTTCCCTCTTCATCACAATTCTTTGTCCTACCCATAGCACTACCAAAAGAAACTTCTGCATTATCAGTCATGTGAAACACCATCACTGCCAACTCACTGTGCTGCCCACTGAGTAAGAATATCTTGCTGTATCTTGTGAGCAAGTTACCTAAATATAGATGTGGGGCTTTTTTATTTGACACATAAAATGAAGGGATCATTAGGTTGCCTCAAAATGAGCAGTTTATGGGATGAAGCATATACATTGTGCTGTATTTTCCTAATCCAATAGTGAAATATTAATGAAACAAAACATGCCAGTCCTAGTCAGGCATACAGCAAGACAAAACTGTCAAAACTTAAGAACTGTCATCAATCTATTATGGACAGAAAAATTAATCCTAATGAGCAAAAAAAACCTCTTATTGACCTCAAAAGATGACCAAGACTAGCTCAGACTAGCATATTTGTATTATGATAGAAACTAAGCCTGAGGCTTCACTTCCAGGTACTGTTGATATATACACTGCATGGGACACTGCAGCCTGAAGTCACAATTAACATTTCAGTCTGTTCCCAATCCATTTAAAAGGCAATTAGTATTTTAAGCTTGACCAAGATGATTCAGAGAGATTCTCTGCCACAGAATGTCCCAACATTAAGTATTTTATAGCATATTGGAATTACTTCAAGTAATAGCATCATCGTAACTACTAAAAAGCAAGTTTCCACAGTTCCAAAGTATTTGTTAAAATAGATTCATCCATGCTGCTGATTTACACACATTTCCTTGTGATGTTAATTATTTTTAGATGCTTTTTCTTCTTCCAGTAAGTAATTAAAAAATATATATAGGAATGCTGAATGAGCAGAAGCTTGCATACAACACTCTAAATTATTTTCTCATCCTTTCCTTATTTTAAAATGAGTGTCTTTTCTACTCCACTTTTTGTAGGAATGCCCCAGTATATTTAACCTTCTTCCTCCAGTATTTCTTTGCATTTTTTTGTGGATGTTTTTTGTTTCTTTTTTAAGAAAACCTTCAACATACAGGCAATAAAGTTCCTAATCAACCAAAAAATACATACCAAAACTTCAGAGAGCCAATAAGTATATTCTACTATAATATTTCATCTCATATCCTTTTTGTGTTGTTACAGCATTCACAATCCTTTCAGAGCTGCTTGCGTATCACTTTCCTCTGGAGAGGTAACAATTACTATTGCTGGTTCATTCATTTTCAGTTTTTAACATCATCAGTCCCTGCAAACTATTTCAATAATTATGGCATGTTCAGCTGCCTTTTTTTTAAGGCCTAAAAGCACCCTGGCTCGCTGTGGAAGCAATAGCTGATGAGGCTGTTACATTTTTTCCCATCACCTCATACTTGTAATAG